TTTTTTTGTTTGTTTTTTACATTTGCCAATTATGTAAGTGCTTCGTGTATATTCGATTATTCTGTTGTTCTGTGTTTTAGCATGTAGATGTATTATTATTTTTATTCCCTTAATCTTTTATCGGCTACTACTATGTTATTTTACGTTCTGAATGGATTAAATGAGTTATTATTATTATTATTATTATTATTATTATTTACTAAAATATTATTTGTCTTATACCATTAATAATGTTTGCATACTTTTGTAAAAAACTTCCGATTTTCCTTATTTACATTTCTTTGTTTTTCCTCTGTAGTTATACAGATATTGTCGAATTTAATTCGACAATTTTTAAAAATCAACTTTTATAATATGGATCGCCCCTTTTCGAGTAAAAGTACATAAGCTTAAAACAATAAAGTACAGTTTTGTTTTAAATAAGACCTTTAAGCATTTAATATAGTATAATGTAGTGTAATGATAAGTCCAAGAGTAGTGCGACAAATGTTTCTGAGCGCGTAAGAGACATTACGCTAGCGATTGTTCCTTAAAAAAAAATAAAACCCATCGAAAAAAAAATACAAAAAAAAAAACAATATAACAAGAGCTTTATAAGATTCTCGTCATTTTTTTATAATACGGGGTTCTAGTGAGCTATCATAATTTAGTTCACTTCTAAATCAGGTTCATTATAATGAGAACTTCTATGAGGTAACTATTTACAATGTCATCATATCACTTGATTGGTTTGTATTCTAAAATGTACTCATCACATCTAATCAAAATTGTGTTTGACTAATTTTAAATTTGCAAAAATAGTTACTACCTATATATACTTCATAAAACATTTACTTTTAATGTTTAGTGTTTTCATTAATTATTTTACAAAATTGTAAAAGTAAATTAGGGCAAATGAAAAACAAATTTCTATTTGTAACGTTTTTATAATTCGATGTAAGATATAGCAAATGTTCAGTGTCCCTCGTCGATAGTCATGACGTCAGTGTCGGGCTCATAGTGCATGTCGAGTTCCCGCGTGCGCACAATCTGCTTGTACACGAAGGCAGACTTGCGCGGCGTGCGTGTGCGCTCCGCGCTTTCGTAGTCCACCTCGTATAAACCAAAGCGCTCACTGCCAACAAATTAAAATTCGAGTTATTTATTTTTAAAATATCAAATAAAGCATTATGTGTCCGTTAATAAAATATGCATACGTGTATCCTCTTAGCCATTCGAAATTGTCCATCATACTCCATGCCGTATAACCTTGGATATCTGATCCGTCTTCAATGGCGTCCAGTACAGCGCTCAAGTGATGTCTGTAGTATTTAATGCGATCGTCATCATTCAACCCCCCGTGTGATGCAAACCCATTCTCTGTTATAACAATTGTAGGATTTCTATAATCCTCTCTTATCTTCGTTAATAGCTTGTAGAAACCCCATGGAACAAACTGAAAAGAAATGGCCATATTTTTCAAGATACAATTCAATCAAGCCTTTCTGTCGCTTTGAACCTTCAAATACGTTTATTGCAATTACAATACAACTCTATTTAAGACTCTCAAATCGAATCAGGAATAATACAAGTTATGGTTAAATGTTTTGAGCAAATACTTTAAAAAAATTATCATTTTTTACTTACTTTCGTGAAATCAGATTCACCAATAATCCAATCGTCATACGTGTACATCATAACACCCAAGTCATCATCGAAGGACGGTGTCTCGTAATAGTTCATGGTAGACTCATTGCGATAAACAAAACTTGTATAATAGTGATTAAGTCCTAAGTAATCAGATGTACCGCGAATGTAGTCAATTTCCTCTTGAGTGAATTCCGGAAGCCTTGATCTGGGAAATCCTTGTTCTGCGCTTTTAGCGGCTACTCTTTCTTTAAGGGACTTTGGAAAATCGCCAGTTTCCGAAAATATAGGGTGAGTATAAAGGCCCCACTAGAAAATTAAATTTGTTAGTTTAACATAAAAAAAAATTGCAAATCTATTTCAGTCAAATTTAGTGAAATTTTATTTTGAAATAATATAAATTTTGGACCTTTAAGATTATTTCTGATAAGGGGTTTTTAATGCAACTTTTAAATGTTGTTTAACAAAATCTATTATTAATACCATTACTGACCGAGAAATCATTTGCTTCTTCAGCAGCTTGTGCGAATTCTTCATGTTCTGTATCATAATACTGCGCGACAATAGTCATGGAAATCTTTCCACCCTGAGTTGGACGAAACTCTTTATCGTAAATGTGATATGCTTTTGCATGAGCTAACAACAAGTTTCTCGTACACATATAGTCTGCGATACCCTTGATGTTAAGAAGGGGTGCCAACGCTTTGTCTCCATAGCCAGCATAGCAGACTGCGTGAGCTTCATTGATTGTAATCCAATCCTTAACTCTATCCCCAAATAACTCAAACGCAACACGCGTGTAGTCTGAGTACCAGTCAATAATATTAGGGTTGGTCCATCCACCCATGTCTTGAAGTTTTTGTGGCAAGTCCCAATGATACAGCGTAATCATTGGCTGAATGTTGTATTTAAGCATTTCATCAATCAAATTGTTATAATACTGAACTCCTGCTTCGTTGATTTTGTCGGGAAAACTGGTTGGTAAAATTCTTGGCCACGAAAGTGAAAATCTGTAATGATCCAGGCCTAGCTCCCGCATCATCTCTACATCTCTCTTATATTGGTGATAAGAATCGTCTGCGATATCGCCATTTAAACAGTCCGTTGTAATGCATGGATTTTCGTGGGTCACATGGTCCCAAATGCTTTCGGTTTTTCCTGGAAAATTGGTTAACATTTGACATTCATTTCGATTTATTTGTTAGTTTAAATAGATTAAATGTTATATAATGTGTTACTATAATCGTACCGTCTTCATTCCATGCTCCTTCTACCTGATAGGAAGCGGTGGCTGTGCCGAAACGAAAATTGTCAGGAAATTTCCTAACTTCATGTCGAACTTGATTAATTATTTTGCTTTCAGTTATTATTATAGACGCAGTAACAAGAAAACTGTAAGATTAAGGTGCATTTAAGGTAAAAAACACAATATGTCGTATTACGAGATCTTGTTATGTTAAAACATGTTATAATTTGGAGGCCAATTTAGTCATTTTAAGGATTTGGCCTCAATGACGTGATCTATGCATCTAATTCTGCTATTATAATCTTATCGTGGACCGTATCCTAGCACAAGACTAGAGCTTGGAATATTAACAAGAAATATTAGTAAATTAACAAGTATCGTCTACTACATTTTAAAATAAAAAAAAAAAAAAAACAAAAATAAAGTTACTTACAGTATCTGTAACGCCGCCATTGCGTGACTTAACCTCCAGCGAAGAAAACTAGCTTTATTTATACTAGTTTTAGCAGGCAAACATGTCACTTTTATCACTATCTTGACGATTGTCAATTATGAGTTACATGTATTTTGTTTTTTTTTTTTTTTGTGTAGTTACTAATCTATCGACACATTATCTTTACATACTTTCGAGTGTAATATTACGTTGAATTTAAATCCGCATGAGTTTTATGCTAACTTTCATGTAAACACCATATATATATAAATCTCATAATTCTCTTTTTTGTTTTAACTTTCAATAAAATCAAGTAAAAAACGACGTTACATAAAAATATTCTTGAATTGCTAAAAAATAGAAGCATTTAAATTAGTTGCTCATAAATGGAAAAGGAAATATTTAACATTTAGAATAATATATTGGCTCGTTAAAATGGAAAACAAGGAATTTCTGAACAGTCGAACTGTTCAGTTAGTTGTGTTGTCCAGTTAAAGTTTTGTTCACATACGCAAAGTTGCTGTCAGGTTAAATATTAAAGTTAAAACTATCAGTTATTATGTGTCCATAGCGGGCTGTAGACTAATGTATTTTGAAATCATGATTATTTTCGCATCTTTTTCTTATAGGATATTTTAAGTGTACAATTTTTTTAATTCAGTCGGATGAAATTTCCAATGCATTTCTTTACAATAACGCGGGATTAATATCCTATTATCGAGTCAGAGAAAAAACTCGCTGTGGTGACCTACACTGAGCTACGAATATAAAAAAATATATATAGTGGTTAAATAAAAAAAAAAACCCTTAATGGTCCAAAGTATTTTTATTATGATGAATTACTCTTCCGAGGACTTACTATGCTGTACTTACTAGCACTAGGGTTTTTTATAACCCTTTTCCGAGGTATAACGCAGAAATAATGATTATATTAGAAATTTGTCCTTCTTTCTTCCCACCCAATTTTGAAACACGTGACTTTTCTTGGTAATTTCTATAATAAGGTATATCGCAATAGTGCTTGTGAGATTCTTGAATTTTCTTCTACCTATAGAGCAATTATCTCTGGCATCAATAAAAGTTTACAGTGAATGTTGATATTTATCTTTGATTGATTGATCTGTTTATTATTCATATTTTTGTTACATAATAATTTCGATTCACCTATTTTGCGGTTTATCGCCAGAGAATTTTTTTAGATCAATCAGCAATTTAAAAAAATCTATTAACCTCTAACTCACACAAAGTTGGAAGAATGTCGATTACATGATAAAACTTTTTTTGTTAACATAAATAAACCAGCGCTTGACTACGACTCCACCTAACCTAAGTGAAGACGCGGCCGGAGGATAGAGCGCGCAACTTGGTAACAGTAACTTCATAAAAAAGTATCAATGTATAATCATTTTATTTTTGCATTATGTATGATCGTCATCATCAGCCTTTATCTGATCACTGTTGGACATAGGCGAAGGTCTTAGAGAAGAGAAACCTTAGAGAAGTCTTATTTATGCTATCTCGAATACCACCTTAATTATTTCATTGATAATTTATTATAAATAAAATAAAATAAAAATACGAACACTATTTATTGACCAAAAGAATTATAAAAAAGAACACAACTTTAAAACATATTAGTTACTATAAAAAAAAAATAAAAAATAAAATTATCATTTAAAACATCTTTCATCAAAATTTAATATCATTTAAAAGTAGCTTTGTGCTCTTAAAATTACATGAGCACATCTTGGATTAAGAATAGTGAATTAGATAAACATAATGTTCAGTTATTTATTTATAAAATCAAAACGTTCAGTGTCCCTCGTCGATGGTCATGACGTCGGTGTCGGGCTCGTAGTGCATGTCGAGTTCGCGCGTTCGCACAATTTGCTTGTACACGAAGGCGGACTTGCGCGGCGTGCGCGTGCGTTCCGCGCTCTCGTAGTCCACCTCGTACAAACCGAAACGTTGCCTTAAAATAATTTGATAAATCGTTTATTAAAAAAAGTGATTGACGTGTAAATTAAAAATTAGTTTATGAAAGGTTTGACTACTTTTATGGTATAAAATAAAAGTACTGACGTATAGCCTTGTAACCATTCAAAATTATCCATTAGACTCCAAGCCGTGTATCCCTGAACATCAGATCCATCCTCAATAGCATCCAGCATGGCGTTCATATAATACTTGTAGTAAGTAATGCGATCGTCATCGTTCAAGCCTCCGAGTGTTGCAAAACCATTTTCAGTAATTATCACAGAAGGATTACCATAATCTACTCTGATTTTTGTTAACAGTTTGTAGAATCCCCATGGAACAAACTGAAATACGAATATTGTGGTAATAGCAAAATTCCAAAACAAAGTAATAAAGTGTTCTTATACCGAATGGCAAAAGCCTTATAAGATGGATGTAAGTATATTGATTGCCATAATTTAAATAAACATGATCAAGAAGGGAGTGATGCCTGAGATAATAGAATTATTTGGAGGACGAAAGCCTGGTGCGCCGGCAACAGGAGAGATGATCGGTAGATCTGGCTAAGACACCAAAAGATAATCAAATTTATAGGAACATCGTTATAGACAGTTGGCCTTGTAATGACGCTTACTTTTGTGAATTCCGATTCCCCAATCTTCCAGTCATCATAGGTGTACATTATAACACCTAGATCATCTTCAAACGACGGTGACTCGTAATAATTTATCGTAGATTCATTACGATAAACATATTTTGTAGAGTAGTGATTAAGTCCAAAATAATCAGATGTACCGCGGATGTAGTCAATTTCCTCCTGAGTGAATTCCGGCAGCCTTGATCTGCGAAAACCTTGTTCAGCGCTTTTAGCGGCTACTGTTTCTTTTAAAGATTTCGGGAAATCGCCGGTTTCCGAAAATATGGGATGAGAATAAATCGCCCACTAAAAATAAAATTAACATCTGTTTAAGACTAAGTAGTTACATAATAATGTATAGTGCTCCTTCGGTTACTAACATAGGTTTTTGTATACCATAATAACTGATTATTACTTTAGTGAAAGAGAGTACCCCAGAATTTCTGAATGAATTAGTAGGTAGTATATAAACAGAAATCTGCAGGTTACACAGAGTTAATTTTAGAAAAGCTTTATCAAATATTATAATTATAACTATTGTAAAAATCAAATGATATTTTACTAACCGAGAAATCGTTAGCTTCCTCAGCTGCAACTGAAAATTCCTCGTACTCAGTATCGTACCATTGTGCGCTCAGTGCAATAAAAATCTTACCACCCTGTGTCGGTCGGAATTCTTTGTCGTAGATGTGGTACGCTTTAGCGTGAGCTAACAATAAGTTTTTCGTACACATATAGTCTGCGATACCCTTGATGTTAAGAAGAGGAGCCATTGCTTTATCTCCATAACCATAGTAACAAACTGGGTGCGGTTCATTGATTGTGATCCAATCTTTGACTCTATCACCAAATAACCCAAAAGCAACACGAGCGTAGTCTGAGTACCAGTCAATTATGTTAGGGTTGGTCCATCCACCCATCTCCTGCAGTTTTTGAGGCAAATCCCAATGATACAACGTAATCATTGGTTTAATATTGTACTTTAGCATTTCATCAATTAAATTATTATAATACTGAACACCTAGTTCGTTTATTTGATCTGGAAAGCTAGTTGGTAAAATTCTTGGCCACGAGAGAGAAAATCTGTAATAGTCAAGGCCCAGCTCCCTCATCATCTCTACATCTCTCTTATATTGGTGATAAGAATCATCAGCGATGTCGCCATTCAAACAATCTTTTGTAACACAGGGATTCTCGTGGGTAATGTGATCCCAAATACTTTCCGATTTTCCTGCAAATTTAATTACCACCATTCAATTCTTATTATTTATTTTAAATACTATAGGAAGAAACAAGTCAGAAAGTCTTCATACCATCTTCATCCCACGCTCCTTCTACCTGGTAAGAAGCTGTGGCTGTGCCGAACAAAAAGTTGTCAGGGAATTTCCGCACCTCGTGCCTAGCGTTTTTGATGATTTTTCCGTTGGCAATAAGTATGGAAACAGATAAGAGAAGGCTGGAATAGTTAGGAACAGTTTAAAAATGAACATAAATAACAAACACATTTGGTAGAAAATATTAGAACAAGGACTTATTTCATCATTGGATGGAAACGCGTCAAGTTATGGGGAGATGGGTGGTGGCGAGATATTTTGTAATAAAATTGAACAATTTGACTACTTACAGGAATTGAAGCCCCGCCATTGCGTGACTTTACCTTTCCTGATCGTCACCAGTCTTATTTATAGCTTTTTACCATCTGTATGACACTTTTATCATTATCTTGACGATTTTATATTAATCTTTCCAATGTTATGAGCACTTTGTTATTCGCGTGTGAGTTATCAGTCTTTTATCTCTTTCTTTTCATATCGATTAGTCTCCTAAGCGAAAAGTATTTCTCTATAGATGTTTAAAAAATATTCTTACTTTGTAAGAGTCGTAAATTTTACCGATAAAGGTAATTTTTATTTCGTAATTTAGAAATTCAAAGAATATTCTTCTGAACCTCTATTGGCGTGTAACAAACAAGTACGGATTTTTATCAATCCACTTACACTTGAAGATAAAAAAGTGAAATGTTAGGAATACGACATACATAACGTAAACAATATTTGAAACAGACAATAAATTTTGTTCGAGTATGATAGGGCTTAGCACTGTGATGCGTTGATGAGATTAAAAGAGTGATAAGAGAGATGAGCAATATAAAAAGCGCATGAAACCGCTGAAGGAAAACATCACACGATGGCATTACTTCAATTATTGTAAGTACTGATACTATATTAGTTATTCTTGTGATTTTAGTCCAATTGACAGGAGGGTAATGTTTTTGTTATGTACTCGTACACATATTCGTATTATATATTCGTGCTTAGCTTAACTGATTTGAAGTGTGGAGTTACGATCGGGAAACGTAAATTAAAGCTCTTTCGTTATTAATTGTTCCATTAAAATTAAAAATTATAACTTAAAAAGAACACCAAAAATTAAATCCTTTAATTTTACAGATTTCTTATAAGTACGTTCATCGCTATTGGTGAAGGTACAATCCCTAATAATATACGACACGAAGTTAGAAAATTCCCTGATAAATTCCTTTTCGGTACAGCCACCGCATCTTATCAGGTCGAAGGAGCATGGGATGAAGATGGTATATAGATTTCTTTTCATTTTTGTAAACTTTATACTTAAAGTTACAATAAATTATAATTTTAGGAAAATCCGAGAATATATGGGATCATTTAACACATGAGAAACCATTTTACGTCCTGGACTGTTCAAATGGCGACATCGCTGACGATTCTTATCACTTATATAAAAGAGACGTGGAGATGATGCGGGAGCTGGGCTTAGACTTTTACAGATTCTCACTGTCATGGACCAGAATTTTACCAACAAGTTTTCCAGACAAAATAAATGAAGCAGGAGTTCAATATTATAATAATTTGATTGATGAAATGCTCAAGTACAATATCAAACCAATGGTTACGTTGTATCATTGGGATTTGCCACAAAAACTGCAGGAAATGGGTGGATGGGCCAACCCTAACATTGTTGACTGGTATTCAGACTACGCACGTGTCGCTTTCGAATTATTTGGTGATAGAGTTAAGGATTGGATCACTATAAATGAGCCTCACCAAATTTGCTACAATGGCTATGGGGACTACAAACTAGCCCCGATTTTGAACATTAGGGGTATGGCAGATTATTTGTGTGCGAAAAACTTGTTGCTAGCTCATGCAAAAGCATATCACATCTATGACGAAGAGTTCCGACCGACTCAGGGTGGCTCGATTTTTATTTCTCTCAGCGCGCAGTGGTACGATGCGGAGCATGAAGAATTTGCAGTCGCTGCTCAAGAAGCTAACGACTTCTTTGTGAGTTTTTTACATTTTTGGATTTTTCTGTGTCAGCTGCAGACCTAACGTTTGAATGACATATACTATTCATAGATATAATCACATAGCTTTTATTAATTTTTTCTAGTGGGCTGTTTACTCGCATCCTATCTTTTCTACTATCGGTGACTTTCCAAAATCTGTAAAAGTAGCCGTAGCTAAAAAGAGTATTCAACAAGGTTATCCAAGATCAAGGCTGCCCGAATTTACCGACGAAGAAATTGCCTACGTTCGAGGCTCGTCAGATTATTTCGGTCTTAATCATTACTCGACTTTATATGTGTACCGGAATGAATCTAGCTTAAACTATTATGAATCACCATCATTTGATGACGACCATGGAGTTATTACTTATACATACGATGAATGGAGGATTGGCGAATCAACAAAAACGAATGTAAGTTTTCGCAAGATTTTGACTTCTAAGTATATCTTCTTATTTTTATTACTATTTTTAAAATCGGTTTGATTTTGGGAATTGTAAAAGAATTACTCAATATATTTTAGTTGGTTCCATGGGGTTTCACCAAATTATTAGCAAAAATAAGAGAAGATTATGAAAATCCTCCAGTTATAATCACAGAAAACGGGTTCGCCACACACGGAGGACTGAACGATGAAGACCGCGTCACCTATTACAAACATTACATCAGCGCTATGCTGGATGCCATAGAAGAAGGATCAGACGTCCGAAGCTATACAGCGTGGAGTCTTATGGACAACTTCGAATGGACTGCTGGTTACACGTATGTCATTTTTTTCTTTTTTCTTAAATAAGTAGCAGAACATTTTATAAAATAGATTTAAGTATTTATTTATAGATTATCATCTTTTTTTAATGCAAATATATTTTTATGTTTTCAGTGAGCGCTACGGTCTGTACGAGGTTGACTATGAGAGCGCGGAACGCACACGCACGCCGCGCAAGTCCGCCTTCGTGTACAAGCAGATTCTACGCACGCGGGAGCTCGACATGCACTACGAGCCCAACACCGACGTTATGACCATCGACGAGGGACACTGAACCTTGCAGTTTTTTTACAATTACATGTTATGTTAATTCTTTTTGTTAACTATAAATTTTAAATTAAAATTTAACTGAAAATCGACCTCCTAATTGACCTACTACCAGACAGTTCTACTAGCGCAAGCGCTTCTGAGCTAGATTTCTACGGCATTCACTTTTGTTTAAGATGACTAGCCGGGATGATTAAGAGTGTTATGTATATTTTTGTCAGAGAAAGAATGAGCAAGAAAGAGAGTGTGAGAGGGAGAGAGAGAGAGAGAGAGAGAGAGAGAGAGAGAGAGACTGACACGTTTTATTTTACTTAAACCGTTTTTGTCTCATAGTAGAATCAAAATTTTATCAATTGTCATTTGCTAAAATAATTCGGACTACAATGGAGTTTAATGAACCCTTTCCAAATTTACAATTTGTCACTATTGATTATAATTATAAAGTATTTTTTATTTATACAACTGTTAATATAAAAATATATTTAGATAATTCGAAGGTTATATACATGAATACTAGATATTTTCAAGTACGTTACGGTACATTAAGTAATTTAACAAAGGCTTAATTCTTATAACCTCGAAAGAATGGTGAAGGTTAACAATTTTAATGAGAAACATTACTGGCCCAGTATGAATTGGGGAAGGCCTATGTCTGGCATTGAACTGATTGGCTGATGATACTAAATTATCCATTACCAAAATAAATTAAAAGGATAAGTTGCATGAAAAAAAAATTAATACTGAACGTGTAGTTGTAGCCTCAAAACGTAAAGATGGTGCTAGTGATAAACTTATAGCGGAAAATATTATTAAACAAAACAGCTGGCAATTTAAGAATAATTTGCATTCGTAGCATAACGTTCGTTGTGAGTAAATGCGAGCAGCTAAAATGTGCTCGCGCACGCGTTTTTTGTGAGTTCCTAAAACCTTACTTTAAATATGATTGTTATAGTACTTGATTAAAAATATTAATCTGAATAAAATTAAAAACGAACTAGTTAGTCAAATTGTTGAAGTTCTTATTCGACATACTTTTATTAAATTGCATATGGGAATGGTGAAAATATTATTTAAATACATTCATTTTTACTGTTCAAATTTATAGTGCAAATAAGGTTTTTTTTATTAATACAACTATCACAAATTTATTTATTAACAGTTTACATATAACTTTTTGTATTGACGTCATTGTTTTAGATATCATAATACTAAATCAAAAAATCAAAGTAGATTTATCATACACTTTCCAGGCTCTTTGTCTTCGTAAATGCGGTGTTTGCTGATAGTAAGTATTACAATAGTCGGAGCACAAGAAAGTTTCCTGTTGGGTTTCGCTTCGGCACCGCGACTGCCGCTTATCAGATCGAAGGAGCCTGGAACGTAGATGGTGAGCATACCGTTGTTAAGACTTAAACACATTAATTCTAGTTGATACTTAAATTGAAACTACGCGGTTTCCAAGTTCTATTTCAATAAAAGTCAAGGCTAAGTATGGCCTCTATGCCATAAACTAGTTTTTTTACTCATATAGTGTGCCTAACCATCCTGTTTTAGATTTTTTTTTCTTATTTTCAGGAAAAACCGAAAGTATTTGGGATTACCTGACACATACAAACGCCAGTGCGATCAGAGATCGTTCAAATGGTGACATTGCTGCTAATTCCTACTACTTGTACAAGAGAGACGTGGAAATGATGCGAGAGTTAGGCCTGGACTATTACAGATTTTCACTTTCCTGGCCTCGCATCTTACCCACGGCATTTCCGGATAATGTTAACGACGCTGGAGTGAAATACTACAATAATTTAATAGACGAAATGCTTAAATATAATATAGAACCCATCGTCACAATCTATCATTGGGACCTTCCGCAGAAATTGCAAAAGATGGGTGGCTGGTCGAATCCATACATAATCGACTGGTATTCAGATTTCGCGCGCGTCTGTTTCAAACTGTTTGGACATAAGGTTAAAAAATGGATCACTATAAACGAGCCGGCACAAATTTGTGACTTCGGTTACGGCAGAGACCTGTTGGCGCCGATGCTTCAGATCTCAGGAGTGGCCGATTACCTTTGTGCCAGGAATTTACTGCTGGCACATGCCAAAGCGTATCACATATACGATAAAGAGTTTCGACCCAAGCAGAACGGCGCTATATTCATTTCATTGAGCGCTCAGTTTTATTCATACGAGTTTGAAAAATACAAAGAAGCCGCTCTAGAAGCTAATGACTTTAATGTACGTATTTATTTTCTCATTTTGAAATATCGACTCACTTATGTAAATTTTAACACACAAATTATCTCTTCTTTTAATATTGCCTTTCAAGCAACGTGGTACATATTGAAAAACCAATTAAAACATTTACAATTAATAATATAATCAAAATTTAATAATAACATGTATTTCCGTTTCAGTGGGCAATATATTCCCATCCAATTTTTTCTAAAACTGGCGACTTTCCACCTTCTATGAAAAAGCGAGTGGCACAGAAGAGCGCTGAACAAGGCTTCTTTAGATCCAGGCTTCCCGAATTGAGCCCTAAAGAAATCGCTTTCATCAAAGGCACTTCAGATTATTTTGGTCTAAATCATTATTTCTCGTTCTACGTCTACAGAAATGAATCAGTGAATGGTATGTTTGCGTCCCCTTCCACCGACGACGATCTTGGAGCTGCTACTTATTTCGGGGAGGCTTGGCAAATAGGAGAATCTAATGCGACTAAGGTAAACTTAAATTTCTCTCGTAATAAAAATTGTGACAAAAGTAAGCCAATAAGTTAAAGCTATAGTGGACCATAAACAGATTATTTTTAATACAGTTAATTTTTATCAAAAACAGCAGGATTTAAGTGTTATTCATTGTTTTTAAAACAGAAACAAATTTAATTATTCTAACGTTGTCTTCCAGTTCGTGCCAAAAGGATTCTATTATCTTTTGACGAAGATAAGAAATGACTACCACAATCCTCCAGTACTTGTGACAGAAAATGGATTCGCGACGCGCGGCGGCTTGCAGGACGACGACCGCGTCACTTACTACCGTCACTACATCTCCGCCATGCTGGATGCCATCGCTGAAGGTTCTGACATACGCGCCTACACCGCTTGGAGCATGATGGACAACTTTGAATGGGCAGCTGGTTATACGTACGTGTATATTTTCATGATTATCGGATATCATACCCAATCTTCGTCCTGACGTGTAACTTTTTTTTATAATAAATGGGGGCAAACGAGCGGCGTGAAGACAAAGGTGGTCAACGACGCCCATGGACATCCGTAACACCAGAGGAACTACAGATGCGTTGCCGGCCTTTATTAACTTACTTTTTGATTCCTTACTAAGCCTATTCCGGTCTTAGCCATGTCTAAAACGATTTAGTAATTTTGGGAAAGTCTAAACATCAAATATAAGTAGGTATCCACTAATGTAGACAATGCTTTTTGTTTTAGGGAGCGTTTTGGTCTTTACGAGGTGGATTTCTCTAGTCCAAATCGCACACGCACACCACGCAAATCAGCCTTCGTCTACAAACAAATCGTGCGTACTCACGAGCTCGACTGGAACTATGAACCTGAAACTTACGTCATGACTATAGATAAGGGACATTGACTGGCATACTGCAAAACTATTAAATATGTACTGATTTTTTTTAATTTGTGTAATAAATTCTGAAGTTATTATCGAAGTTTGATTTAATGATAAAATAAATTATTTTTCCCTTAACGTTGAAAGAATAGAACAATGTTAAAATTTATAAACTAAATGGTATATGGTAACTCGGAACAAAACGTTACTTATTATGACGACAGAAATGTATGCACAGTTGTTGTAAGAAATAAAAATTAAAATGTCCCGAATGCCAACGACATTCAACTTCGCCGTATTAAGACTTCATTTATACTAATACTCGTATAATAAAGCAAAACACACTTCTTTGTTGCCTAAGATGTCAGCAATTACAGCATATTTTTGAATAATTCTTTTTTTAATAAAAAGCCCTACACTTACGTCACGCTTTAGGCTATATATTTTCACGCTGTTAAACTTAGGGGTAAACATTTTGGATAAAAATCCTAATGTGGGAAAGAGACCATAAGTTGCTGCCAACATCAAGTTGCCAATGTTTGTCATGTCATTTTGACATTTGTAATTGATAATTTGACAAATGTGAACAACGAAATGAAACTTTTATAATTGAAAGCGGACGAAGTCGCATGGGAATAGCTAGTTTCTAATATTAATGCTAAACAATTTCCAAAACACTTACTTTACATCTTAGGTTACATACAGCACAAACAACAATGTTTAGATAGGCAATAATTACGAAAGAATTAAATATTTTTCTATAAGATTTATCAATGTCTCATCCACTATTGTAATTAACGGTTACATTTAGTTGGATTTCAATAGAACAAGGTCCGTCCTCGGCGCGACTCACTGACTCGGGAAAATCCTAACAAAAGGTTCTAATGAATTGGATCTTCCAGCTTAATTATCCTCGAATGACGGAAAACGGATGCCTATTAATAACACTTCAAAGGAGCTTTTTAATAAAGATTATTGGTATTACTATTACGATTAATATTAATCGATTCATACGTAAAAAAAACATTGCCACAAGCACTGGCTTTAAAAGCTAATCTGATTTCAACTTAATAATAATATTATTGTTTTCATTGGAGTTACCGAAGAAGAAAGATGACAAAAATGTACATTTGTTTTCTATACTATATTAATATTATAAACAGGAAAGATTTACATTTTTGTATGTATTGAAATAACTCAAAAGCTACTAGGTCGATTTTAAAAATTATTTCACCAATAAATAGCTACGATATCACTGAGTAACATAGGCTATACTTATTACAATTTTTATTTCCGCGCGGAAGAAGACGCAAGCAACAGTTAGTCGTGTATAAACTTACTTAAGACAGAAATAATAAATGGAACAATTACGAAGCAAGTACAAAATGCATTTAACATCCATGTACACATAATGTCAATTTTCCTTTTCACTATACGTGAGGTTTTCGTCGACAGGTCGCGTTGGACGTAATTGTGTTTACCGTCGTCGCTGCGATCCCATTTCCAGCTAAATCCATTCAAGGATGGATTTTCGCTGGAGTAATTTTCAATGCTTTCAGTTTATTTGAAATAAAAATAAGTATTCGAGTCCAGTATAACGTTTTCCATGGAAATATTTATTAGTGACCTAATTTTAAATGAAATGGTTTTAAAATTAATATATTATCACGTAATAACAATGGCTTTACATGATTAAACTGGTTCTAAGAATGTTAAAATATGCGCAACATTTTCACTCGTTGAAAGTCACAGGCGTTTACTAGTCGACAGTTTTAGCGTGAATTATAAATTCAATAAACAATAACATATCTAAAGGCTAATGAAAAAAAACTTTGAATATGAATTTGGCTCTACACAATTTTTATTAAGAAAAGACTTTGCCCTTTTTCTTTCCTACTCGATGGTATTACAAAAAGTTCAGTTGTTATAAAAACTACATTTTCGGACATCATCAATCACCGCGAAATGTATTTGGAACAGACACGCCCGCGTTTATGAAAGATCAATATTTACTCTATAAACTGAGGTCAATCTTACAAGTTTTTTTTTTGTTTTTATAACAAGATCCGAGACAAGGAGGCTAATGTGCTAATACAAGAATTTAAAAAGTAATAAAGGAGTATTAGAAAAAGGGCTGTATTTAATCTATGCTCAAACCAGAATTAAATAATATTGGCGGTTGAAATGTACTGTACGTTAGTGTAGTACACTAGTAGCTCTACGAATGTAGAAAAGTGACAAGGGTTTGCCAAGATCGCGCCAAAAGTAACTCGTAAATCTTCTATCGGTTACGGAAGTGACACAATATTGTATAGGTAAGGGGTTTCTCTACACTGAGTGACAATGGAGTGATCTCTCTGGTAATCATTACTCTATGTCTGGCAAAGAATAAAAATAAGAGTCGCCACGCTAAACGATGTCAGACTTTGTATTTTCTATCCCTTGTAAGGCTTACCTTGAAAAATATACGTGTACAAAATATTCATTATTTATGTATCCGGTAACTTACCTTTATGCAACCGTGTTATAAATTAAGGTTACTATAATTAATTAGCAGATAAAAATCTTATAAACTAGTCCAAGGACCTTTAAATGAAAGGAAAATTAAAATGTGTTTTCTCTCATAACTTATGTTTTCTTACATATTTTGCAAAATATCAAATTATAACATATACATACTTATAAAATTAACAATAAAACATGTAAAGATTGGAAATAGTTACAAAATACTTTATCACAAGGTCTAAAAACTGAGATATCCTCGTATGTATGGATGAGAGATTTAATAAATGTTGTGTAATTTGTAACAATATGGAAATCTCTGCTTAGAATGCTCTAGAATTTTCTATATTAAAGCATGGCTGTGTCGAATTCCGTAAATTCCACGACTTGATCCCGTATACATAACTGGCCAGCAAGAAACATGCATCCGCATCCCGCACAGTCACAATTTTCGTAAATGCAATTTATTTTTACAGAGCTAAACAGAATAAGAAACTACTTAAAAATGCTTTAAAACGGTTTGCGATTTAAAAATATTGCTTTTATATTTATACCATAATTTTCACAGCTATAAGATCTTGTATCGTTTCGATTAACAAACAAGTTTTTAATTTAATGACGTTAATTCATTTTATTCAAAAAATTCAATATCAAATATAACTTCAATACTATGAAATATAGCGGACTATAATAAGCCTTCGTACATCATTATAAAATATCTAAACTTGTATTACCTAACCTCAAACTCTCTCAAATATATGAATGAGGATGTCACGTCAACTTGGTTATTAAACATGAATTGGGTTACAGGAGTTTACAGCACAGGGACTGTTCATTTCGCATCTGTCAAAAGTTGCGAACACGTTGTGTTTGACGCTGTTTTCACGCTACAACTTTTGACAAAACAATCTAGGAATTGGATTTGCAATTGGAATTGTTAATTTTAAGTATAAAATAAAACATTAAGTGATAATATACTGTACGTGTAAAATACTCAGTCCCATGTAGTCAATTAACACGAATATACGTCGCAAACTACTTCTTTAAATGTATTTACCACTACCAACTAAACTCGAATAGAACTCGCTACTCTACCATAGGTAATCATTTAATAAAGTGTGGGTATGTTAATGGAGATGATAAGATAACGTCTGCAATCAGAAAGCTCGTTCGACATTCATAATAACATACAACTAACACTTAAAGTTAACAAGAAAACCACCCATAGAGGTCAGAAAATTATTTCATTCTCCACAAAATTCAAACAAAACGTAACTAGCTAAAACGAATAGCAGATTTTTAGTTGTACACCTCATGTTTGGCTGAAATCGAAACCATTAGGCGCTTAACTTACTGTAAGTAACGCCTGTCAAAGTATGTCTGCTTTATTACGAATATCGGATCTTAATCTCAGTTTGTTAGTGTACTTAATTTATTAACAAATGAATTGGTTCACCAGAATTGAACATAATCTTGTTCGTGTCCCACGGAACGAGATTTTCTATAATGGAAATGACCAAATTTCCGTGCTGTTGAATAAATTGTTGCAGTATTGTACCGTGGGAATATGAAGTATACACATGTCGCAAAGCGGACACTGTCATAAGCGTTTCAAATTATTACTTACAACATTTTCACATATATTTTACAACTAAATTGACATTGCATCATAAGACTATCGATGTAATATTTAACTGGTGAATTTTGTTGATTTTTCTTTGTATTGTAATAAATGACAAATTACCATTGTAACTTTTAAAAAGTTAAGAATTATAATCATTTTATCACAGTCCGTACGAACTCTGTTCAAAACGTGTCCACCTCACAAATGACAATATGTCGCACACGACACAACCCACGTCATTTCTTTTCTGCGAAACATAATTCCGAATGTCACGCTTTCGTTTCAAGTTTAATTAATTCCATGCGAAGCTCGATTTTACACTCTCAATTTCTAAACACGTCGAAATTTTTTCGTTCAACGAATACAAAGCTTTTATTAATTGTATGTTAAAACCACATAATTAGAAAGTTAACCTGGTGGTTAACTGTGTATTATTATGATTAATTTCAAAACATAAGAATAAACGCTTACTCAGTGAATATGATTCAATCATATCGACTCAAACGTCTTTATTATCGGATATTCAGAGTTTCCGTAACCTACATTGGGTAATTCAGTTGGCATTGCAAGGATATTGTTATTGATATTTGCAATATGCAATCTGGTAGAATCGACTCAAATCTTCTTGTAAACACAAATTGTTTACACTGGCGCTTCTAGCAAATTTGTAATACCGATAAAGGATATCAAAGTACATCAATTATATTTATTATAGCATCTAAAAATATTAATATCATTACAATATTCATAGCAGAATACATCGTAGCATATCAACGATAACGGTTACCGTGAGAAAATTTTAACAATAAAAGAGGTGACAGGTGACAGGCCACGGATTGATAAACAATGACTTAGAACAATCGTGAGACACGGCAAGAACTCCTTACATTTTAAATAATCAGGTATCCAACAGATTATCATAAATGTTTCCTAAATAATTACTGCAATGTTACTCATAACTGAAAACGTCGTCGTCAATGTTCCCACCGAGATACTCGAAGCCTACCCAAGTCACGGCGACTAGAGCAGTCAGACGCTAGCGTAGTGCAGGTTGAATTCACACTTGGATCGCACAAACTTAAATGCATTGAATTAAAAAAAAAAACATACTTTTAACTTCAAAATCTTGACGCTTAGCAAAACTTCTGGCACATTTGTTAGTTACGTCATTTAAAAAAACCCGTGGCGTAAAACTGTGTACACAACAAAGTATTAAACTGGGACGGTATCGTATTGTGTTTGCATTCAGGCTTAGCAACGAGAAAGAACCCAAAGCACTCTCCATCGCTTCTCGAGATATTTATCAAAGTTTCAGCGGCCCCACTCGAATGAGGGCGACCTAGAGCTTCATAAAAATATTCCTTTGTTTCCACGAGATATTTAAGATGCTAAAAAATACGGTCAAAACGCTGATTGAGCTTCACTTAACTAAACTCCTTTCAAGTATTCAAAAGTGGTTAGGTGAACTGCTTCAGAATAAGGACATGTCGGATATAGCAGAGATTGCCTAATTAGGCCCGTTCTTTAAGTTATGTAAATACAACTTACAAACAAGTTAAACATTCAAAATTCACTTACACAAAGATTTCAATAATTTGTTAAAAGGCATTGGTTTCTATTGATTTGTTCAAAATGATAAGAGTTGACTCGACTATTGAGTTTCATAACTTATACTCTTCTTCCCCTTCTTTTAACTAATCAGTGAATATTTTCATAACCTCAATATTCATAAACCGGTGAATAGACCAATATTTAAATGATTTTTACCTATTGTTAATTAATAACATATTTGATAAACATTATGCGTCTATGAAACTTGTATTTTAAATAACATTTTATTACATATTAATCATAGGAGATAGTTTACAAATAGCCGGCTCACATCAGAGAGCACGTCTCGCAACACGTCTCCCAGTGACAGCTTTATTCCTTTCTTACACATTGATTTATATTTCCCAGCACTCGTAAACTTTGCACTATACAAGAAGGATGTTACAAATCATAAAAAAATATTGAATGTCTTATCTAAATATGCTATGTCTTAATAATATACGCTATTCTTATGTTTCAAAGTCTGAATTACAGTCTCAAAGATAATCATATTCCGTTTTAATTTAATATTGTTACAAGATAACAAACCGTTTGTAACCGTTTGTAAGATTACTCAAATTACAAATAATGCTTGAAAAATATTCGGTAAACCTTTTTTTATTTATTAAAATGCTCGTCAATCTAATAGAGAATTAAATTTCGTATACTTACCCACTCTGGAGTCGAAGAACTTCGGAGAATCATAGGCGGTCCATTCCAGTCACAGATTGTCATGAAGCACTAATCACAAATATTCAAATCAATTAATAGTACGTTTAATAATAATACATTCCACCAACACAATACTGAAAGATTCAACATACACTTCACTTTGAAATTTCAATATACACGAATATCAATATTTTTTTACGGGTCAGTCGGTTTGAATATCGTAAGATAGCCCGCGTCCCTGAAGAAGTCTGTAATCGACCGGGCCTTCCGTCGCGCCACTGAGCGGAGTCGCGGGCTGCCGACAGCGGCGGCAACGCGCATGCGCCGCGCCACACCGCCGCCGCCCGCCCCAACACTCGCGCCTAGACAACACTTATAGCATTTACCTCAACATTGCTCCCCACATTTAAACACTATACCACAAACCCTACTGACACCCGGCAATATGCTGCATACTTTACAAACAATCGTAGCATCCTAGATATTTAGAAACCACAGCAAAAATGACACTAGCAACAACGTAATGATATCACGAGATCCACGCGCCATTGTGCCGTTTGTCAGCGTGCTGGACTTTCATAAACGTCAATGATGACATAAAATGACTCGTAAAACTTAAATAATCGATTGTCAGATATTTCGTAGACGGTGAAATTAAATCAACATTTATGTCGGAACTCGAACAACTGTTTCAAGTTTATTTTGTGGGTTTACGTTTTTTTTTTTGTTTTACGTCACCTAACCGGCTAAAAATATTGAATCAATATTTGGGCTTCGTAAACAAACCGGATGAGTGCGTTCCCGCTTCGTGTTTATGTAGCCGGTAAATGGAGGCTGTAAGCTTCTCTTTGTGCCCAAATATTAAGCCTCGACAAAACGATGACCAGAAAATACTCAAGTTGGAATGATAATGTAACCAAAAAAATAATACCTTGGTAATTAACCTTTAATTTCCTTTGCAACTTCTTTAGTTTTCTTGAAATTTAGTGTAATATTTTTTTCTAATTAATCATTTGTCTTATGGAAAAATTTCAAGGGTTCTTGTAAATTTCTTTAAGAATTAATTACGTAAGGTGTAATCGAAGAATCTTTCAGGCAACTTCGAAACGTGACGGACCGTATAGTGTCAGTCGAAATCCCCTCTCGGAAGTCGATGTAGTTGTCCCACTTACATTCATCAAATAAAACTTGTATAAATCATACTTACGAACATCCATCAACAAAATTTATTTATCATTTACTTTAATTAAGGATAAAATAAAACTGTGATTTCACTTTCATTTAGTATATTTAGATAATATCTGTATAAAATTTACATAAACAACAACAAAATGCATTTAGCGTATGTCGCTATTCCACTTTCTACAATTTAACCGATAACATAAGAATAAAAAGAAAGCTGACGAAAATTAAAGAATGTTTTAAATCAGAACTTTGTTGTGGTATCACAAAGAACCTTTTTTTTATTTAAACGACAAATTAAATATATGTATAATTACAATTTTTATAACACTAACCATTTTCGTTTAAATAATTCGATTTATTTTATTATCAAAATCTTTCCAAGGTTCATATTCAAATCTTTCGTTGCTACAACAATCTTTATGTACTATAACCGTGTTTTATTGCAATTTTTTTAATCAATAACAACAATTATTATTATTAACCATTACATAAATATATTATTTTTCTAGCTAGTCAAATCCAATAATTTGTTTTCAACATTTACTAACATACAAAAGTATTTAGCAATTATCTCGCACAAATGTCGTCTAGACAAACTAAAACGTTTAATGCTTACAACCATTTTCATTTCATAACCTAAGCAAGTTTTCGTAAAACGTAATCTTGTTTTCATATTTTATAATCTAAATACAACTATTGTAATTGAACTTCTACGAGCATAGAGGCCACAAACATAAAAAATAAATCAATGCTTTTTTTTCTTAGATCGACTTGAACTAATTGTATCACAATTTTTTTTTATCCATTTAAACCGTAGTATGGTTAATTTTTCCCATGTACCTCGCTACACGACGCATATACTATAAGGATCCGCTCTTATTAATATACAAAATGCGATAAAAAATAAACCAAACTGGATACTAAAGATCTGGGATAATCTTGATATTAAATTTGTGGATATATGCTAAATACCACTTCTTCAGCAAATACTGTTAAATAAATATAGCAATAAAATATCTGTAAAATGAAAATGTTCGGAACAAAGTAGAGTAGGTACAAATTATTTATGAAATATGAACAATAAACCATTCTTCAATATTGAAAACTACTCGACCCAATTATACTCTCAGCAATGCAATATACAATTTGTAACTTTTTATATCAACGGTAAAAGCCATTGAAAAAACATAAATGGAAATTTCTGAGTAATACAAGAGTCGCACTTGAAAAAAAAATATATTCTTAACTACTATTAAACATTAAAAACGATTAACAGAATTTTATCACGTAATTATATCAATAACTAACTATATCAAATCCTCTTTAGTTGCACACGATAAGTTTTACGAATAAGGCAAGTTTATTAATGAACATTGAAAAAATAATTTTTAATTAAAGTATTACAATTTATCTACACTTTAACTTACAACAACTGTCATATATTTACAATGTAGTAAGTGTCGCTACAAACAAACGATGCGCTCTGTAAAGGCGCCAACTAAAGTCATGTCAGTTGCGAGAGCAGCTCTCAGCACTTGTGGCCCAACAGCGTCCTTCACTCGCAGAGTAAACTCCTTACGAAAAGGCGCAGGAAGAGAGTCACCTACCGCATTCAGCACCCTAGTCCTCCCAGCCACATCTAAAGGTTTTCCTTCAGCGCTACTACCAAGTATTTTACGAACGCACGCCGATCTACATGATTCTTTTTCCGCCTCAAACAGTTCCCTAGCGGCTATCTCAAAAGTACGTCTCTTATCAACACCACCGATATTCGAACCGTTACTTGTAGCACCTTCTGCCATTGCTTTTAATGCCCCAGCTTTAAGTACAGCTGGCAGTAAGAGTTCAACCACCGCCCCTGTTGTACGAGAGCGTAAGAAATGCAAAACTTGTTCTGCTTCACGAGTTTCATCGAACAGGCGTCTCTGTCGTGAGGCTGGGACAGGTCGGGCTACATTCCATGCTTCGACCCAGGGATTACCCGGTAAAAGCATCCGATCACCTAATGACCCACCATCATCCGGTTTCCAATCTCGGGGAGAATACCAATGGACGAAATCAGATAGCTCCGCACCGGGGTTGGCAGCTTTGAACGCTTCCATGTCGGACAGCAGCGAAGCACTCATCATTCTCGCACGAAGTTCCGAAGCTTTAGCATCATCACCCAGTCGCACCATGAGTTCTGCATCCTCTTCTAATTGATCCTCTGTCTTCGGCGCGGGATCCTATATGAATTGATAAAAAACCAATTTTAAAATACATCCATCTAAATACAGCGAAGACAACATAACTTACATACCGTCGCAGAAGCAACAGTACTCTATCTAACAGTGTAAATACTAGGCAGTACCGTAACAGCAGTGACGTAGCGGTCAAGCGGATACCGCGTTATTCAATTATTGTTTACGTTCATTTTTGCCGCGAGTTACATTATGCTGTCCAGCAACTTATAGAACTAGCCTGATTGAACAAGTACAAACCTGTGTACGAGGAACGTATAGCGGCGCCCCATTCTTGAGGGTCTCATTGCCGAGACGGGCGAGTCTCCCCACAGGGCGGTCCCAGGGCAGCTGGTCCTCCCCTGCCTCGCCCTCCGAGCAATCATAGAACTCATCCTCGGAGGAGTTACCGGCCCCGCCGACACCACCTTGTGATACACGTCTCACGCAGCAGTTCAGCAGCTGCAGTTTCTGGTGTAGGAGGCAGGTCCTCGCGTTCGGCGGACCTTCCGCTACGCTGTTATAACAAAGAATACTACTATATCAGGGTTGATTGCATGATAGCTTATTACACTCTTATTATGTTATTTGATTTATAAAGTTCTATAAATCTTGAAATTATAGTTTTTATTCTATTTACACATACCGTCTGAATAACTTCCTTGAACATTAAAGCATGCACAGCTAAGTCAAGAACGGTATCGAGATAACAAACAATTTTTTTAGCTGTTGATGATTCGTTTGGCTACGTTTTAAACGCTCTATTCCGTACCACAACTGTTTTCGACTACCGCCATTGTTATGTTTGGAGAAAGCATTTGTTTCTCTAAGGACTACGAGTACAATGATATGTATAAACCATGATATATCTAAGCGACATTTTAATTTGAAAGTAAAGTCATTTAGCACACAACCGAGCACGTATAAGAAAACTTTCGTACAAAAAAATTAAGAATAGTCTTAACTCTTTATTCATTAAATAACAACTGTCACGTTTAGTCGATTCCGTTTAACTTTCACTACGAAGGTAATTTTAGGAAGACAAACGTCCGACCTCGAAAAGAAAGCAAACAAATCAAGAGAGTGCACAGCGCGCTGCTCTCCGGCTAATGTGCGAATCGTTTTCTCTTTCGAGTATGCAAATTTTGCAGCTTCCCAGAGCAGCGAATCGAAATCCGCTAGAGGCCTGGGGCGAGCCACCTGCCGATGACATCCGAAATATCTCGTCTCGTATCTATGTCGTGACCCAGAATCATCAGATCCAGTCGGACGCGCGATGCGCGAACGCTCTTGGTACCGTTATAATATTGAATTACAAATGAGCAACAGACGCGGCCAGGAGGCGAGCGGCAATGTACCAAGTTTTTCACGATGCTGAGACGTCTAATCGGTCGGTGAACCGTTTGTTTACCGTCATCGGTGGCGGTGGCTATGAGCGGCATGGGAGTAGGTCGGGAGCGCCGGTGGGGCGCCGGCGACGCGGCCCGCAGTGCTACGCGCGTGCTAACCACGGACGCCGGCGCATCAGACATGTATCTAAATTCAACTATCGAAACAAATCTCTCGAGACTCGTTTGACAGTGACCTCGTGTGACTTAACGATGATAAACAATTGGTGTTACTAAAATATTCGTGAGAGTGTTGACAAAGTGAACATAGGATTTTCTAAATATTTACCGATAATTAGAGCAGAATGGTAAGAGATTTTTTTATTGATCATATTTGTCGTGAATCAGTTACTTTGTGGATGGAAACTCTTGTTGCGTTCGTTGACCCACTTTTAAAAAACTTTTCCAATTAACATGTAAACATTGTTTACGTGAATAAGTGAGAATTAAAAAAAGTTCACCTCTACAGAAGATGAAATCGTTTTCTGAAAAACGAGGATAATGTAATTATTGTATATGTTGATGAATAAAAAATCTCTTGAAGTATTATTGCATCGTTAATAAGCCAACGTTTTTACCACACGTTTAAAAAACTATGAAAACTAAAGGCAGTACAGTAGTTAAATATAATGGAAGGAAATGTACTTTAAAAACATCCTTAATCACATTTTAATGATAACTCTTCCGTCCGAGATACTCGCAGGGTTAAATATGTTTAATAGCAGTTTGTTTAGTTGGCGAATTTCATTGTACTTGAAGTTAATGTAATATCTGCGGCGGCCGGAGACATACTTAGCACCGCACGAGGCAATCGCTGCTTTTGTTTCATGAATAGTTCCCATTTCGAACTTTTTCAATGTGCTTTACCTAGAGTACAGTACATTTGCATTTGCAATTAAAACCACCAAGCTAGAGTTAATTTAAAACTTTTCAGCTTTCAACCAACCTTAAGTTCAAAATGCTTTTACTATAAAATATATCTTTATCAAATTTGTGGTGTGGAAATTGTTCATCACGTCATATTAAAAAAAAAGGAGGTATCTTTTGTGAAGTCGGTCAAAAATAGATAATCATCAAATTCCATCGAAAACATCAGTTATTAGTTTCAAAATCAGTATAAAATAAGAATTAAATTTATACTCAAACAATGAACAATACACTAAAATATGTCACATTATAATAAAAATCATAATTGAAATAAACCAAAATAACATCATCTATTCAAAGTAAAACAATCATGATGTGTAATAGATGAAATATGATACTAATAAAATAACGAGGATAATAAACAACATACGTAATAACATCTATTCAATTAACTGAAAATAAGCGTATAAAGTTAGATGAGTTTCTTATTAGAATATAACTGAGTCTTGTTATAGATTCATAACATGCGACCAAGCCTCTCACAGCCGACTCAATAATTCATTGAGTGAAAACTATATGGAGACGATCATTCTAGGAAATAGAAAATGACAAACGCGAACAGCAAAAGTATAAATCGATGCAACTATATTTAATTTACCTGACTTATTTGAAATACTGAACGATTAAAATAAGAGAAATGTTAAACGAAGAGTAATACAAAGAAATGTATGAATTTTACTGCGATAAACATATAGCTATAGTTTCTAATCATATTAGACATGCATGAGCGAAAGCGTCTGAGAAAAAACACGCGGAAACTTGCTAGACAATTTTAATGTATCGTCAATTAACACTAGTTTTTGCTAAAACAGTTTTCTCATTAGACTTAGAGCGACTGGACAAAAACAAAGCGGAGACGATCGAGAGACAATGGGAAGAATAACTGTGCTAAGATTCCGTACCGTGCGTGTACCGTGGGATGACGGTTACTCTACGTTTGGATAAATGTGTACACAACAACCTTGATCACGACAATTGGAGTATTTTGCGATTAAATTAAGCCAGATTTAAGAGCTTGCTTTCCTCTGTTTATCAATTGTTTTCTAATCTGACGTCACCTAAAATAGCCCGCGATATTTTACTTCTTTTAATCTTAAAAAGGTTAGAAATGGTAACCTTTATCAGATGATAGATTTGAAACTTTGCAATATCACTATTGTACTTCCAATTGATGTTTTACTTTAACAAAATCTCAATATCGAAAGTGTCAAGTTTCTGCAAAACGTACAGAATAACCGGTATAGCAAAACTGAAACTTTCACTGCGCCTTTGCATCTTATATTTGTCTCGGAAATTGCCTTGTTTAAGCTAAAATACCTTTCTAGTGTCCGCGGAGACATTGCTATACAATGGGAAGTTGTTTACGGTCAATCATTTTACCAAAGTATATATGTTTACGGTAAATGTAGTTACTAGCGGCCTATGTAACTGCAATAATACGAAATAATAGCACATTAGGGAAAAATATTGTTTGAATCGGTATCAAGTGAATCATTAAAGTTTTGATATATCTAATCTGGATAAAGATCTTTGTTCGGTGATAATAATTTTAGTACAGTTGGTTTCGAGTATATTTTCACATAAGACGACTAGTTTTAGCGCGAAAGTGAAGTTCAAGTTAGCTGAACGACACACAAACGTATGAGGACAGTGGGTCACGTATACGTTAATTAATTTTAACTGAAACTTTTTGGCGAACAATATACTATAACGTATATTGTGCACCGAAAAGGTTTTATTCAAATTATAAACAACTTGTAGGTTAGTAACAATTACCCATTAACATGTAAGAATACGGTAAAGAGATTAGAAACTAGGAATAAGTGGAGATAAATTTAACCGGAAAAATATCTTCAAATCTTTCTTTTATTAGTATACAACAAAATCTCATCAACTTTCTAACGGCAATTTTCTTGTTTTTGTTTCAAAAGTTGCTTAACAACAGGTTTTTCTTTTGAATAAAATATAGCGAAGTTTTCGAGTAAGTTAAAACAACATAGAGACAGTTTGCGAAGAATTTCAGAGATACAATCGCAAGAGATTGCTTTGAAGATAGAAAAGGACGCCGACTTAATTCCCGATAACAACAAAAAATCCTTTTCAACTTACAACGACTTTAGATTCAATTAGGAGATATTCAAAGGTGCAAAATCCAGTAAATGGATAACTTTTAAATGAGGACATTATTTCTATATTATATCTAGAAAATAGAGGTTTTCAAAAGTGTAGTTTCTTTGTAGGGCTGGTAATAAGAAATATTAACATGCTAAACGTAAATTTTGATTTGGTAAACTTGGTTTTCTATTACTAAAACACTTGGCATAGTTTGACCAGGTATATAAAAACCTTCGCCATACTGCAGAAACATATGAAAATAATTTCTTTGCGTATATAAGAATTTTAATTATTATAAATCCTGGGCTTATGTCCAGGATTTTTAAATTCTTGGTTGGACTATACAAAAAGATATTTTTATTCTTTAAAAGAAACCGATAACAATGTTTTTGAATTATGGTTAACCCAAAGTTTCAAATCAAGTTCAGTTTTCAGCAACTTAACGATGATAAAATTACTTAGTACTAATAAAGTAAATGATAATAATATAGGTACAATTAAAATCAAGTTGACACATGTATGTAATATATAATATGTCATGTCCATATATGATCGTAATGCGATCAGGTGGGAAGAGTGCATTGACCCCGGCAGGTGGCGCATTCGTCTCCGTCAAGAGCGACGGGTCGTGAAGATGTATTGGAGTTCGGGACTCGCCCGCGCATTTTAGGGTTGTCACATGATTCTTTTAGAATATACCATATCAGTAGGGAAATTAACCATATAAAACTATGAACAAGTTATAGGGACATTAACAGCTAAAGTTGTTTACAGGCCAGTAAATAAAAGGAAATATAGTAATAGTGCGTACATTATCAAACTAAACGCATATACAATAAATACCTATTTCACGCCTGTTTCCTGCGAAATGATGATATTTCCCGATATCAATTTTACTTCCTGTCACAACATCCGATCGGGAATTTATGCCTTTATCGCATATGTGAAATGGAATATAGCAATAATTACTATGATATGGTATACTAAAGATTTTTTGCACAAATAGTCAAAGTAAGGCTCAAAAATTCTTATTAGTTCCTCCTAAATGAATATCTAAAGGAATCCTAGATTATAATGAAGTCTTTTTCGCTTCTTTTGGGTTTAATTAAATAATAACAGAAAGGTTAAACTTTAACATATAACTGTAGCGTAATAAATCCGTTAGAAACAAGTTTCTCAAACGATTTGTATTAAAAACGTAAAACGCACTATAAATGGAATTAATGAATATTAAATAGGCCGAGCCCAACTTTCAAATTTTATATTTTTTCGAAAACTATACATTTAAGAAACAATTATTGTGGTATTCGGAACCGGTATAACGGTTTAAATTATTAGTAAGTAATCAAATAATAGTTTATATTTAATATTTATTTTCAATTTGCATAGAAATCTTAGTAAGCGATTGAAAACATAAAGATATGCCACGTAGGTACTGTACAAAAATCTGTACATCTTGCAAAAAAAAAATTAAACCATCGCATTAAATGTTGAATCGATCGTAATAGAGATTTCGCATAAGTTCACAAAGCTATCTAAAACTCGATCAATGCACACATCATACAAGGTATGTCAGCAACTATAATTATGTTAATTTAAATCTTAACAAACGTGTTTCGCGTCAGTCGACATCGCGGCCGGCGTCTCTCGCAACGCATCAGAGCGCTGCACTTTTTACGCAGCTCTCCAACACCAATACGCACAAAATGACGCACCATAATCCCACTTACCTACAAACGGGTAACGATCCGTTAACTAATAAGTAGCAGTTGGTAAATACAGAGTTTGGACTTATAATGTGGCAAACGAGGTTAGCATTGACAGGTGTAATATGAATCGGTTCATAGACTGTTGAAGAAACCACACAATAATACTGCAATTATTCCTTAGTAATGTGAATATAGTTCTTGAAACAATAAAATTTCCGTGCACATACTCGTATGACGCTTTTTAAGTATCTTATACCATTGAATTAGGAGGCCCAAGGATATCATACTATAGTTATATATTTTCGAAACTCTATATTGCACTGACGTGTTAGTTTTCATTGCCATCTCAGGTTTTCTTGATAATTACAATTTTAACAATTATAGGATACAATTAGCTAATAGCCACATCCATAACTATTGAGATCTTTCAAGCGATAACAAGCAACATTAAATAGCATTCTGTAACTAAGTTTTAAGTAATTATTTTCAAAAAACAAAACCGAATGAATCTTTTTGTACAATTTTAGTAATCATCAATCTACAGACAAGAGTGTTTT